TCTCTCCTCATGCCTCCATCCCTCACCCCACCCGTTGGTTCTGACGCCTGAGCCAAGCCTCTTGAAGAGTTCTGCTAATAAACTGTGGTGCCTGGGCTCTTCATTGCTGTCTCAATCTCCCCACCCCACATCTGAACCAATAGATCTGCTGTAAAAGCAGGATCAGTCCAAAAAAGGCCGGCCAATCCACTCAGCACGGTCCGGGTATGTCGGTCCTTGGCGTTCCAGGGCTTTCCCCTTCTCTCTCCTTTCTCCCTCTTTTTCTTTTGTTGCTTGAGTCCTTTGTGTACAGTGTGCCATGCTCACTGTGGCAGCAGAGTGCCCAAAAGCCCCACACAAACACACATGCATGCGTGCACATCGGTGCACACGCACAGTCAGAAACACACAGCTGGGCCCCAGCTGCATACAAAGACTCGGGTTTGGAAATCAATGAAGGAGAAAGAAGAAAAGAGGGAAAGGAGTTTAAATAAATTGGCACTTGAAAAAATAAGAAAAAACAAGAAAGGCAATGATGAAAATGGAGAGAGGGAGATCTTAAAAAAGACACAATCACTCGACAACAGGGTGAGGCTTTTGATGGAGACGCAAAACACAGCGTGCAAGACAGATAAGGAGTCTGTTCAGTTCTGCGGATGTGATCCTGATCGAGCTGATGCTGAGCCATCGTAAAGAAAACAGAAGAAACATAAAAAGAGGAAAATAGGGAATAAAGTAATATGGTCTAAAAATGACTTCAAATATTTGAGAATTAAAATGCAAAAACTGAAACTATTCATTCACAAATTGTTTTAACTTTCTATTAAAATCTTCTACCTGGACCGTTATCGACGTTGCCTGGACCCTTGCCTTTGTTTCGACGAACTGGACGGAAGAAGAAGCGTGGAGTGGACTTTCCTCTGCTTCGCCCTCTCCAGAAATGTAAGCCCTGTTCCAGTATTAAAGTGGGATTATTCAACGCCCAGTCACTCTCAAATAAATCTAGTCTAATACAAGCTTATAAAACTGACATGAAAATTGATGTAATGTGCCTTACTGAGACTTGGCAAAGACCAGATTCTTACATTGTATTAAATAAGGCCTGTCCTTAGGGGTACATTTACCTGGAGAGGGCTAGATGTACTGGACATGGGGGAGGTCTGGCAGTTATTTATGTTTTTATTTATTCATTTAGCAGACGCTTTTATCCAAAGCGACTTACAATTGATAACCTATAGGGCATGTTGTGATCTGTGGGGGAAACCGGAGTACCCGGAGGAAACCCACGCATGCATGGGGAGAACACGCAACTCCACGCAGAAAGGCCGCAGCCGAGTTTTGAACCTGCAACCTTCGTGCTGAGAGGCAACAGTGCTAACCACTGTGCCACCATGCAGCCCAATGATGTATCTGAACTATGATAGAGGGACTTACATTTCCGCACACAGCACGGAGACGGCACTGGTCAGAGTCGTTAATGATTTACTTGTGGCTGCTGACCAGGGCTCTGTCTCACTCCTTGTTCTTTTAGACCTTACTGCCGCCTTCGACACTGTGGACCATGATATTCTTCTCCATCGGATTCAGACCAAAGTTGGACTGACTGGAACCGTTTTCCAGTGGTTCCAGTCGTATCTCACTGGGAGAACTGATTATGTGGCTTTGGGGGAGACACGATCATCACCCCACAACATTACTTGTGGGGTCCCCCAGGGATCCGTTCTTGGCCCAATTCTCTTTATTATATATATGGTCCCACTTGGGGATATTTTTAGAAATTTTGGGATATCCTGATGATACACAGCATTATCTCAAAATTGATTCAGTTTCCTCATCGTCTACACTTTCTGCTCTTAGTGCACGCCTGGATGCGACAAAGGCATGGATGTCTGAAATTTTTCTCCAGCTAAACAGCAGCATAACAGAGGTACTGCTCATTGGTACTCCTCATCAGGTAAAATCGTCTAACCTAAAAAATATCACCATATTAGGTAGTAGCATAACATTTTCTACATCTACCACTAATCTCTGAATCAAACTGGACCAACATTTATCACTTGAAAATCATGTCCGTCACCTTTCTAAAGTATAATTTTTCCATCTAAAAAACATTGCAAGACTTTGCCCGTTTCTTACCCAATCAGATGCTGAGAAGTTGATCCATGCTTTTGTTTCGTCTAGGCTAGACTACTGCAATTCTTTACTTACTGGAATTTCTAGTGGATGCCCATATAAACTTCAGCACATCCAGAACTGTGCTGCCAGAATTGTGACAAGGGGTCACAAATATGACCACATTACACCTGTACTGAAGTCTCTTCATTGGTTACCAATCCCCTATGGATTTAAATACAAACTAGGTCTCCTTACCTATCAGTGTATCCACAGAAATGCTCCTATTTATCTTAAAGAGCTCCTTACTATCCACATCACCTCAAGAAATCTTCGCTCTAGAAATTCTCAATTCCTGCAACAGCCCAGAACAAAACGTCATACCATGGGAGCATTTCAAGCAGCAGCCTGTGGAACACACTCCCTGAAACATTGAGAGCACCTCAGAGTGTTGAATGTTTTAAAAAACATCTGAAGACATTTTTATTTACACAAGCTTTTCCAAACTCATTGGTAATGCTGTTGTTTTACCATGTGTTAACTTAGCATTGTATGGTTTTATGCTTTATTTTGTATTTGTTTTTATTCATTGTTTTTAATTATTCCTTACATTGTTTCTGATTTCCTACTGTAGCACTTTGAGATTTCATTGAAATGTAAAGTGCGTTACAAATAAAATCTATTTATTATTATTATTACCATTGAACATATTTATGTGACTGACTTTTGGAAACGTTCACAGCTGCAAAAAAATGAAGAAATCTGCAGAAAGCCCACTAAATCTAACCTTCCTGCTATATCGACTGGTGCAGCCTGTTTTCTAACATGTATGTTTCCTTTTCTCGACTGTTTCCAATCTGCTCTGGAATGAAAAGTTGTAATTTCTTCACATCGCTTTATGTTGCTGAACATTGACGTTTTTATGGAGGGAGACAGAGACATAATCAATAGGCGCCTTGGAGAAAGAAGAAAAAGTCAGACTGGAGTTTTCATCTTTCTTCTGGTTTGGAAAAGATCCCTAGAATCCTCGTCTTATGAGTCGAGACTGCCAAATTTATTTGGTTTTATCAAAGACCTTTAAACTCACATTCCAAATCCTGCATGCAGCTTTTAACACACACACACACACACACACACACACACACACACACACACACACACACACACACACACACACACACACACACACACACAACAGATGCAGGCAGTTCTGCAGTGACATAAGGATGCACACACAGACACATTTGCAGAAACTTTCTGATGCATGTGTGACACACGTTCTCCACATCAGCTCGCACCTAAAACGAGAAGATCCACTAATAAATATAGATTTTTTTAGCATGTATATTGAATTTCCTTTTTTTTACTGTACACTTTTTCAAAACTTTATTTAACAAGAAACCAGCAGCAGGTGATGCTTATCTCTCTCCGCTGAAGGAACTGAACTGTCCTGTGAGCTGTCTGATAAGTCAGAGTGCTGTTAGCTTCTTTCACACTGGTGTGACACCACTGCTTTGACAAACTGCTGCAGCGTGCACATGTGTACACTCGAGCACATGTTAAAGCTGAGCAGCTAGAAGAGGATCTGACTCTGGTGACTGTCCACTTAGCTTTACAGCTGTCGGAATAAAACGAGAAAACTCTGAGAGAAATTTCTGACTCCGTACCACAAAAAGTTGTGTGTTAGTTTAGAAGAGCAAGCCTTCATATTTGTGATTTACTGATTTCTTGAACAAAAGATGCTCTAAAAAATAAGCTAACCAAAATGTTTTATTTCTGGTTTAAAATGATCAATTAAGTGCAAATTTCAGAAAATATCAGTAATAATTACTAATTAAAACTTAAGCAAGGACAAATATTTAATATTTATAAATGGTCATATTTAAGGATGGAGAAACAACCCAGAGTTCAGTGCTGAGGATCATAAACATGATTTAAAAAGCTAAATAATCCTGGGCATAAAGAAATTAGCTTCACTTATTTACATTTACAAGCACTGCTTCAACAGTTGCTTTTCAAATTTATTCCTTTCCCAGAAATAGAAGTTTGGTGTGTGTGGTTCTTGGTGACCTACAGGTGGGTCCCGACCCCAACTTTGGGAACCATTGAGAAAAGAGAAAATGTTGAACGAGTTAAATCAGGGGAAAGTTCATTTATCTTTTTGGTGATCTGAAGTGGAGAAAGCATATAATTTAAAATAAATCAATGTTTTAATATCATTACTGGTTATCAGTAAATATATTTGATAATGAGCTCTAGTAAATATTGCATTACTCCTGTATCTATATTAAACCAATTAAAATGCTAAATTAAGCTGTGAATTTGCAAAACCCGCCAGTAAAAAAAGTGTCACATTATACAATCACAAATTGAATCCACTGAAAGATCCAAACCCCTTGCACCCAAACGTCACATAGAGATTTAAAAACTTCTGCAAAATGCAGGAAAGGTCTAAATATCTACAGAGACGATTGGGCAAAAGCCGTGAAGCCCTGAGGATGTATGTTTATGCACGAGTCCAGGTGTGAAGCTCCTGAACCTGACCCAAACTAAAAGTTTATCTCTGCAGTTTCTCCTCGAAAACCACAAAAACGTGACAGAAATATCAACTCAATGTGCGTAAAAACTCCAAAGTGTTCAATTGTTTGTCTTAACCCTCTCAGGCTCAAAATAAGTTTTGATAAATTGACGAACAACTAAGTCCTTCAGGGGTACTTCTGAGTTAAAAATGCTCATGAAATACGTATGTATTTGCAACTAACGGTTGCAAATCTGCAACGCTTGTCTCCAGGGGGTTAAAACGAAACTATCAAACTATCCAAAGAAGCAGAAACGATGGACTCTTCTGCAGCAACATCTCCTTGCACCGCATCCCTCTGCAACTTTGTTGAGACTTTCCAGTCCCTTACCTCGGTTTCTCCTCGGGTTGGCTTGTTTCCGCCGCTTCCCCCGGCTCTCTTCCGCCATGATCGCGCTTTTGGACGGGCTAGAATAAAAAGCTGTCCCGTGAGCGGAGCGGATGATGCGTCCCGAGCGCCTGCCTGTCTGGGAGTGAGTGGTGTGTTGGAGGCATCGCCTTCGGTCACAGCAGGAGACTCGGAGCCTTGATAGGACTCTAGAGGCGAGCAGGAGGCGGTGAGTGATGTCAGAGCAGAGGCTGGACCTGAGGTCACCTTTCTCAAAGAGGAGCAATAATTCCATTTTTTCTTTTTCACATTATGACATTTGTGGAGTAAAGCAACTTTTCTTTGCTGCAAATGAATACATTTTGGTAATTTTATTAGAAATAAAAAAATCTGCAAGTTGCTGGTTAATGAGCGCAGGTATGCTCAACCCCCAACCCCCCCGCCCCATGTTTTATTGACCTTATGCATGACACACCTGCGCTTTAGTGCCCTGTTGAGGACCCCGTCCTGCGCCCCATTCACCCCCTGCATGGTTACAGGAAGTAGTGCGCTGACAGCGCTTTGTGTTGCAACCTGGGCCGTAATCTGTTTTGCCATTAAACAAAACAGCAAACTCTACAGGACCCCCACCTTGGCTTTTCTTGTACCCCCCTCCGAACATTTCCCCCCACCTTCCAGACGGCTTCTTTTCTGCAGGACGCATAATGGATGCTGTTGTGAGGCATAAACAAACAAGGATCTGACACTGGCACAGATTACCAGATTTAAGGACAGAAGTGAAAGGATTTAAACCCGTTTGGAAGGGGGACTACATATTCCAAAACATGCATGAAAATTGCACAAAGACAATCTATTTTAAAATTTCCCCCCTCTCTCTTTTACTCAAGATAAATGAGTAAATATTTGCTTTATTTTTTCCTGATTTGTGTTTGCTGGGGGTTTGTGTCCCTAATGGATTCTGGAAGAGAAAGCATCCTGAAGGTGGGGAGGGAGTAGGAGGACAGAGAGGTCAAAGGGGTCTTTTGTGTTATGAAAAGAAGGAGGATGAAGAGGTGGATGAGGCGGGGGCAATAAACTTAGCTACAGAAGGTTACAGAGGTGCAAAGGTGCAGCAAAGGTCCTGGGACAAAATAATTTGTATGCATGCAGGAGGGTGTTGGCTCCCACACCCTGCACTGAAACAGACTTTAAAAAGTCATTTTTGACACACTAATGCACCCAATTTTACACCAGTAAACAATTGCAGCTTGTTAAAATGTGTTAAGACGAGCAACTCAGATTCACTTCACTGCTGCAGCAATTAGTCTACTGGATATATATGTTTATAATAAACATGACTTACAACTGCAAAATGTAAAAAAAGAACTTATAAGATTTCAGTTTTCAACTGTCCGTTTTAAACAACGGGGAGCTCAGAGGAAGCAGTCCCACTGTTTTTTTTTTTGTCCCGGTCTGTGGTCTTCGGGTTCAAAGCATCTTGCACAGGGAGCAGAGCCCTTACACGGCATATTAAGCAGGAGTTAATTATATGCCGACCTAAGTGACAAAAGGGAAGAAAAGCCTCCCCCTGAATGAGCAGACAAGAAAAGAGAGAAGTCATTATGTCACCCACTTCTTTGCATTTGAAAAACTCTGTTCTTATTTTGAGTTTTCCATTTGTTACACTAGAGGAGGGAATCAAGACATGCAGCACTACCTTTAGATCACTCTATGTAATTAGGAATCTACTAGAATTGTGCAAAAACACTTGTGCATATTTTCTGAAGAATCAAACAGTTTAATGTTTATAAAATGTTCATTTTCAATTAAAGAAATAACCTTCCTGCAACTTTGATCCTTTTACAGTGAGTTATCTAATATATAAATAAGATTATTCTTGAGTGGATTTTTAGTTCAGCTGATCATATTTCTAATTTAATATGAGTTAAGGTAACTCTGACCCTTTTATCTTAATGAAATTATTTTTACTTTACCTGAACTAAGAGACAATAATTTGAATTCTTGCATTTAAAAAAAAGGAAAAAAATCCAGGTAAAAATAAAACTTGGTTGCTGTGTAACCTCGCTTTGTTTTCCATATGAAGAGTCCCCTGTAACATTCCTCATGAATTTAAACATGATCACAGTTTTTCCTTCTATTTTTAGTACCAAATGTACCAACCAGTAGCATCCTTCCTCTTATTCATTCCATATAGTTTGTTGTTGATTATGTGACTGTCAGTCAAGTAACAAAAACTCAAATAACATAATTTCCTCACTTATAGCACATTGCTGAAACAGTTCTAATGAAGTGAACAACTCAAAAAAGTAGGTTTCTTTCTCTGTTGTTTCTGTCTCTATTCCACACAGATGGTTCAAACATTTTAATCATAAGTAACTCACTTTTATTTTGGTATTATGCCAGTAAACTCTTCCAAACACCCAGGATTCCTTTGTGGAAACTGAGCTATTGTTTCAAATCACAAATGTGGATATGGCAGATTGCAAATCAGTAGTCCGTCAGGAAAACTTCCCTCAGCCTCGGAGCAAATGAGTCAGCTTTAGCATCGCTGCCAGGCTGTAGTGGCTGCCGTGCGTCTGCTGTGCCATGCCACAACACCACAATGCCCGTATAGTGTGAGCACACTGGGGCCCCCGAACCAGGAAAAAACCAAGGTTGTACAAAATAAAGGTACTGACCGAAAAAAAAAGTAAAAAAAAAAAGAGTAAAAAGTAAAGGGAAAAATATAAAGTAGCTCTCAAAGCTGTCATAACAGACACACCCAAATGCCAGAGATAGAACATATTAGGAAAAAAAGAAAAAGAAAAACGTTCAGATCGACACTCATGTATGAGTATAGGTTTGTTTTTTGCTTGGGCTACAAAGAATGGACCATATGCACGCACGCTTTTCTAAAAATAATTTAGACTTTCAGTGAAATTGATATTTTAGTTGGTTTTAAAGCTCTCAGCTGATTATGTTTAGTGAGATGGTTGAATTTAGCTTTAGCTGGCAGGTGTTCCGTTGGTGGAGGGAGGGAGTTGCTGGATTCATACAACACATTACAAAGGTTAGAATTGGCAAAAGCCATGCTTTGTGGAAGTTTTATTGAAATTTAGCGTAAAATAAAGAAGTTCTAATGAAGTCAGACATCTCTTGATGCTAAGTGATGAAGTTTTAATGACACTAATGATGTTTAGCTTAAATTTTAATGAAGGCTAGCCTGACGCTAAGTAAAAAAAAAGTTATATTGAAGTTTAGCTTAGCTTAGCCTGATGTTAAGTGATAAAGTTAAAATGAAGTTCAGCTTAGCCTGATGCTAAATGATGAAGTTTTAACAAAGTTTAATTTAGCCTGGTGCTATGTGATGAAGTTGTAATGAAGTCCAGTTTAGCCTGATGCTAAGTTATGAAGGCCCAAGACACAAATACACATTACCTCATTTTATGGCCCAAAACATTGGGAAACAATTTTGTGAATGATTTTTAATGGTTTACTTGGACTTTAACTTCTTAACTGATGTTTCTCATCACTTCTTCATAAAGCTTCTGAAAGTGCAGACTGCGTTGATAATATTATACAAGACAGGTTGGTGTAGTTTTTCTTTTTTTACAGCATTCAGCAGCCCACTGTGCAAATCCCTACTGACCACAGAGACTCAGTCCAGGCACTGATGTCACAAAAAGCAGCCACTTTTAATGCTCATCCACTTAATCTGGGCAGCTCACTGCAGTCTATAACAAGCCGCCGTGAGGTCCACTTCTAACTCATAACAAAGACTTTTCCAGTCAGTTAATGGGATGAAAATAAAGGGACAGATAAATGGGAATGAATTCAATCTTCTGGTCCAATGGGATGAAGTTTGAATAATTAGGAGGTAAAATTATGCAAAACCACTTCAGTTGAATAGCGTCAAAAGGTCATTTAAAGAGTGTGTGCAACATTTATTAAAAGCTATGGAAGATGCAGATGTACCATGAAACTTTTTCCACAGGCTGTGCTGCACTCTGCAGGATAAAATAAGTTACTGCAGTGAAACAAATGGCCTTCCACCATAATGCTAATCCTCACTTTAGATTAAAAAAGAATAAAACGATGCACCAGCTCATGAAAATAGACGGGACAAACAAATTTCTGACAAACACTCTGCAACCATATCAAACTGCACCTTTATTTCTTAAAATGGTACATTATAGCACAATATGTATAAAAATGTAGAAAACTGTTCACAAAATAAAACACTTCACTTTTTATCTAATAAAGTTATTGCTACTAATATAGCTTTGTTGCTAAAAAGTGATATTCTTTTGCCAGCAAAAAAGTCAGAATGAAAGATGACAGTTACAGACACATCCCTTTCACCCTCTCTCTCTCTCTCACGCACGCACGCGCACACACACACACACACACGCACGCACGCACGCACACACACACACACACAAAAGGCAGCATCCATAAAGTTCATAAACATAAGATTTTGTACAAAACATTTCATACATTCTATATAACAGCACTAACAATGCATGTTGGTTTACTGATCTCTAGTGTTAGTGTTGACTCATAATACTCACATTTGTGCATTGTTTTCTTTCGAACTTTAAAGTCTTTGGTAGGTTTTGCACTTGTTCCAAAATAAAGAAATATCCATTTGTGATGGTGCTTGGTGAACTGACGTGACAATACTGTGATTTGGTGAAAAGTCATGGGAAATGCTTTAGTGAAGCTCCCACTGCACGTCGGCAGGCTCACGTCGATTAACTGTCTAAAAAATCTTAAGTAAATTCTCTATTGTGGTCAAAAATGAGGTTCATGTGAGTGGTTGAGAAGGAGGGATCTTTCATTGCTGTACTGTAGAATCGGCACAAAGCCACTGAATATAATTAATTAAACAAAAAGCTGCAGCTTACATCATGGGATGCAGCTTGGATGTTTCTGAATCGAAACCATACAAATCCATGCTTTTCAATGTCCTCTAAATAATTTGGCTGAATTTTCAAAACAGTTCCTCCTCTTGAGATTAGAGCCTTTATGTCCTATAAACGTACACCAGTCTCTAAATTACAGTCAGCTTTGTTGAGTTTTCAGTCATGGATGAGCTGTAGGTTATGTTTGAGTTTATTACGCACGTCGACAAACTGACATGAACATTTATGCACGTTGCTTGTTATACGTACCTTAGAAAAGGCTAGGTACATGCTGGTATAAACACAACAGAAAAAAAAAACAAGTACACAGCTGCTTTTAGGGACAGTAAACACATGGAGTGCAAACTTTCTGTCTGGAAAGGTAAATACAAATATTCAAAACAGGACCTGAGTGTCTGTGTGTGTGCACATGTGCTGTGATACAACATGCGATTCGATTCCTTTACACTGGTGCATAAGTAGAAATACTGATATGTGTCGTCGGATTGTGTTGATACTAAAATAGGTGAGAATCCAGAGCAAAACACGCAGAATTACTAGCTCAGAAAAACAAATCTCAATCACTAAAAGCACAGTTTTATCTTTTCAAACAACCTGGACGTTGAGCTTCAAGCAAACTATTAAGCAGACTATCAAAAGACATAACTATCCAATGTCTCATTGTCATAAACAAAATTTGTGTAGAAAAAATAACATATTTACACGTATCCTTCCTTGTTCCTGTTACCAACGCCCTTTGCAAAAACGATACCTGTTCAACATTGTCAGTAAAAATCACAACATTTGTTTTATTGTTAAAAATGTCATAGAAGACCATACCAAGGCAGTAGAAAACAAATAATGATGGGGCACGTTTGGTTTTAAGGCTTTTTGATGGTAATTTGCATAATTTTTTTCAATTGTGAGAAGGCCGCTAAAGTAGATTTGTCTCATTTATCACCCATATGAGAATATGATTAATTGTCATGAGTCCTTATTAAGCAACAGGTCTCATAGATCAACATCATTGTAGTTTGGGTTTTAGTCTTAAAAGTGGCTAATATCACACAGCATCGATCAATCTTGTTCTTCCGTATACTCTCAAGTGACAAAATGTGAGTTTGAAAACCCAGAGAAATTTGAGGCCAAATATATGTATTTTTTTAGTCTAATCAAATGCCTAGCTGCTCCATAATTCCCTAAGACAGAGTGTTCAGGTACTTATTTTCTCCAGCTAGTGAAGTAAGCATGGACGTCATGTCACCAACAGCCATGTTTGATAGACCAGAACCTGGAGTAAGGCTGACAAAAGTCTGTGGGATGGTGAGGCGGGAGGAGGTTTGGGAAGAAGATCCCAGATGACCCTGAAGGTTATTGTTGACCGGACTAAACGAGGACGAATCTGCATCATCAATAATGGATGTAAAGTCTATGCGGGCATTTTCCAAGTCCAGGTTTTCTAAGGCATTTGAAACAGGACCAGACTCGGGAAAAGGGGCCATGGGGGCCGACTTTGAATCAACTACGGGGTCTAAACTGGACCCAATACTATGCTGCTGGTTAAGACAAGGTCTGTTTGGGGGCTCCAAGGTTTTCTGCACCTCCATGTTAACCTGACCTGAGTAGTAAATGTTGTTGTTGGGAGAGAACATTTCATTTTGAGGGTGCAGTGGATGCTGGACTGGGGGAAGTCGAACACCTCTTCTGGGGCTCGAAGTCGAGTGAACAGGGCTGACGTGGGGGGAGCTACCAAGGTAGCTTCCTCCTACCTGTGACGAGCTGTTCTGACGACTGAGAGGCTTTGGCCCCTGAGGGGGCCTGGGTACCACCATTTCCGGATTATAGCAAGACCCTTGGATACCTGTGAGATGCTGGTCTTTAGGTGTAACTGACGCAGACCCCCGGTTGTGGGTGGCGGGGCTCATAACCAGATTCCGATCAGGAAAAGAGGAATATGACTGATTGGAGTAAAGATTCTGATTCTGCTGCTCTGGACTGTGTTGCATGATTGCCGTTTGATCCATGTTGTCAGAAACAAGAGGAGGTTTAATGCCACCCTGTTGGTGCTGTTCTTGTTGTTGCTCCCACATAAGCGCTTGCTGGGACTGCACATAATTCCTCACCATCATCTCCTTCACCTGCATCATTGGGGTCTCTGACCTCTGACCCTCAGATAGTGCAGAACCCGTGCAGCCCAAGCTTACCCCTCCTGCATTGGGGAAACAGTTCTGGTTTGGCCCTTGAAAGTCACAGCTGGGATGGCTGGAGCTTCTCATCGCTCCTTGGCCCATTTGTTGAGGGTAACCCTGTGTTTGCTGCAGGAGCATTTGTTGCTGTTGGAGCTTTGCACTTTGACAAGAACCCACTCCACCCAAACCAGAGGGGAACTGCTGCTCAGGCTTGATAATGAGTTTGTGAGTCCCATCAGTACTGTTGTAAAGCCCTGTCTGATTACTGAAATGGGCTTGTGTCTGCTGAGGATGTAAATTGGGATCTGAATACGGCATTGATCGCTGGTTCTGAATAGTATGGTTCAAAGTTTGGATTTGGTTGTGGTTTCCATTCCAAGAACTTCCACTGCCTCCACCCTGGCCTACATTGGGGTAATGTGGGCCTGTAGGACTGAGCTGGCAGGTGCTCATGCTGTATTCAGCTTGTTGGAGGAGTGCATTCGACATGCCCTCCTGCTGTGCGGGCCTTGCTTGGCCCAGTGAACTTGCACCAGCTCTAGAAAGGACCTCCCCTCCATGGCCTTGGTAGTAGGATGAGGCAAGAGAATCATGGCTTGGGGACAGCTGATTTGCAAGTGGACCCCCGGCTCCAATGGTCTGATTTTGCTGCTGATAGCTCATGAAGTTTCTGTCTCCAGGGGCAACAATCATGGAATGCTCCCTTGTATCAACAGGAGTGAGATGAGGCTCCATACCTATTGCTTCCATCATAACGTTTTCTGTAATGCTAGGTGGCCGAGGGGAGTAAATGTGACGAGAAAGACTGATGTCAGAGACATGCTGCTGCAGTGCATTTCTTCGGCCCATCATGGCTACATTATTAAGGCTATTGAAGCGTTTTGGAAGTGCTTGGGACTCTGCTGCTACTCGAACCGGATCACTAGCTCTCCTGGAGTTGTTACCTGGGGCCTGGTGAGGGTAGATGACACCAGTGCCATATTCTGTATTGGCACTGTGTCTACGAGGACCACCTTGCTGCAGGAAAGGAGGCAGATGTTGCCCCTGGTACTCGCTCAGGAGACCTCCTCTTCGAACTGGCGTGCCTGGCTGGTCCATGTTAGGTAAAGGAGTGGGTGGTGGCCCACCAGTTGCTGCGGCATATTTGGCCTTTAGATTGTATTGCTGCGCTGGTGTTAAATTTGGGAGACCTGGTAGTCCTCCACCTCCAGGATAGGGACCCCCTCTGCGGTTGCTCTCGGGTGAGAGGGGTTCTCCTCCATTTTTTTCTGGGCTAAGCATGTGGCATCCTCCCCCTGCTGTTCCTCCCATTTGTGAGACCTCACTGGAGCGCCGGCTGGATAGGTAAGGAGATGCCATGGAGGAACGGCGACTCACAGTGTACGCAGAACTCATGCTGCTTGTACCACTTCCTCTTCTATCATTAGCAGAGTTGGCAATGGTTCCACCTCCAAGCTCCTTATTGGACAGCTCCATAACACGTCGGTTGGAAAGAAGTGGAGAAGGTGCACACATTCCCATGCTTTCTCCTGAACCTAAAAAGAAACATGCAACAACAAATCAAACCTGTGAAGGTTTCTATGCTACTGCTCATCATAAAGATTCAAATTTTGAGCATAATTTTGTACCAGGAATGACGGGAAGCTTGTTGCTGGCACAGCGACCGGGAGGTGTCGGTCTTCGAATTTGCTTTAGCTTGTCAATCTTAAGGTTCTCCAGCCTTTTCAGAGCTTGGGCAGACATTCCCATTGTTCCTGGCTCCCCTCCTCCGCTTCCACCTGTAACTCCATCCTCCAATGCTGTAAGATCATCCAAGCTCCCTGCTGTGTTTAGGTTCATTTCCACTCCGCTGTCATTGTTGTTGGTGCTCCCCAGTGGAGAACGTTCACTGCTGCAGGATGACTGACCACCAGGGCTTGGTTGGGACTTCTGAAAGAAGACAAGTTTTTAAAAATAAGAAATGAAATGGAGTTCATTTAGTTTTTTTATTTACTGAAATATTTTAGTTCACCAGAGAAGTCTCGGGGGCCAATAGTTTACAGTCCTCCCTGCGCGCCTCCTCCTTATCCAGCAGCAGCTCAGAGTTTGGACCTCCAGGGGTCATAGCGGAGCCAGGTGGTCGAGGGCCTGTGTCCCCACGATGTTTTTTGGTGATGTGAGCCTCGGGGCCGTGTACCGTCTTCACATGTTTACGCAGAGAGCTGGGGTCTGTGTATCGTTTAGTGCAACCAGGGATCTTACAAACATAAGGTTTCTGTGAAGGAGCAATGCACCTGTCATTTCATGCAATCTTTGAGTGGCTACTTCTCTATGACTACGTTTACATGCAGCCAATATCCGGGTTATGATCGGGTTAAGGTCGGTATTCGGGTTTCTGAGTTGATCAGAATAACCCGTTTACAAGCGTAAATAGAAAGAGTTACCTCTAACTTGCATAACCCAATTTAAATGCAGACGATGGGGTAGTGTCAGGACGTATGGACTACGTCCAGACGCAATATGCGTCATTTCCGGTTCTTCTTGTTCCGGTATCCGTGAAAACAACAACATGTTTCCCAGTTCGGAAGAGATAGCGACCGTGTTTGTTTGCGCTTTAGTTTACTCGTCACTCCAAAAGTGTGGTGCTGTGCCGCGACTCGCCATGTTGCTCCCAACTTGTTGTTTACTTCCGGTGTTCTGGCGCATACAAAACATCTCGCTACTCAAAAGACCAAGATTCCTTGCGAACAGAGCATGCGCAGAACACACGCTTTGATGGGGATACAGGTGCTGGCCAGTAAATTAGAATATCATCAAAAGGTTGAAAATATTTCAGTAATTCCATTCAAAACGTGAAACTTGTACATTATATTCATGCAATGCACACAGACCAATGTATTTCCGATGTTTATTACGTTTAATTTTGATATTTATAGGTGACAACCAATGAAAACATCAAATCTGGTATCTCAGAAAATTAGAATATTCTAAAGGCCAATGAAAAAATGTTTGTTTCTCTAATGTTGGCCAACTGAAAAGAATGAACATGAAAAGAATGTGCATGTATAGCACTCAATACTTAGTCGGGGCTCCTTTTGCCTCAATAACTGCAGTAATGCGGCGTGGCATGGACTCGATCAGTCTGTGGCACTGCTCAGGTGTTATGAGAGCCCAGGTTGCTCTGATAGTCGTCTTCAGCTCCTCTGCATTGTTGGGTCTAGCGTATTGCATCCTCCGCTTCACAATACCCCATAGATTTTCTATGGGGTTAAGGTCAGGCGAGTTTGCTGGCCAATCAAGGACAGGGATACCATGGTCCTTGAACCAGGTGCTGGTGGTTTTGGCACTGTGTGCAGGTGCCAAGTCCTGTTGAAAGGTGAAGTCTGCATCCCCATAAAGTTGGTCAGCAGCAGGAAGCATGAAGTGCTCTAAAACTTCCTGGTAGACGGCTGCATTGACCCTGGACCTCAGGAAACAGAGTGGGCCAACACCGGCAGATGACATGGCACCCCACACCATCACTGACGGTGGAAACTTTACACTGGACCTCATGCAACGTGGATTCTGTGCTTCTCCGCTCTTCCTCCAGACTCTGGGTCCTTGATTTCCAAAGGAAATGCAGAACTTGCTTTCATCAGAAAACATAACTTTGGACCACTCAGCATCAGTCCAGTCCTTTTTGTCCTTGGCCCAGGCGAGACGCTTCTTGCGCTGTTTCTTGTTCAAGAGTGGCTTGACACACGGAATGCGACACCTGAATCCCATGTCTTTCATGAGTCTCCTTGTGGTGGTTCTTGAAGCGCTGACTCCAGCTGCAGTCCACTCTTTGTGGATCTCCCCCACATTTTTGAATGGGTTTGTCGTCACAATTCTCTGCAGGGTGCGGTTATCCCTAGAGCTTGTACACTTTTTTCTACCACATTTTTTCCGTCCCTTCGCCTGTCTGTTAATGTGCTTGGACACAGAGCTCTGCGAACAGCCAGCTTCTTTAGCAATCACCTTTTGTGTCTTGCCCTCCTTGTGCAAGGTGTCAATGATTGTCTTTTGGACAGCTGTTAAGTCAGAAGTCTTCCCCATGATTGTGGTGCCTTCAAAACAAGACTGAGGGACCTTTTAAAGGCCTTTGCAGGTGTTTTGAGTAAATCAGCTGATTAGAGTGGCAGCAGGTGTCTTCTATATTCAGCCTTTTCAGAATATTCTAATTTTTTGAGATACCAAATTTGGAGTTTTCATTAGTTGTCACTTATGAATATCAAATTTAAATGTAATGAACATTGGAAATACATTGGTCTGTGTGCATTGCATGAATATAATGTACAAGTTTCACGTTTTGAATGGAATTACTGAAATATTTTCAACCTTTTGATGATATTCTAATTTACTGGCCAGCACCTGTATGCCGGTATGCGTTTACACGACCAAACATTCGGGTTAGAAAAGGGTTACCCCAGGTGTAGTAACCGGGTTTTTAAAAACCCGGTTATGAGCATATCCGGGTTTTTGGCGGTGTTTACATGGACCTGCGGAACTGGGTTATTGTGAATATTCGGGTTTTAAAAGGGTTACTGGCTGCATGTAAACCCACTGTATGTGCCACATTTTACATTCCTGATTATTATTTTAGTTTTATAAGTAACATTATGTTTCATGTTCAAATTTCAAACTTTCTATGACTGAAAAAGCACTTCAAGCACTTTTTTAAGTAGTAATTTTAGAGCTGTCTGTAAGAATACCTCATTAGAATGAGTTCTGTTCTGATGTTTAGCCCGGTCTGAAGCATTGGAAAAGGCTTTGTTGCAGCCCTCATGTTCACACACATAAGGTTTCTCTCCGGTGTGAGAGCGAAGGTGGGTCTTTAAATTCTCCAGGCGAGAATAGGCCTTGTTACAGCCTTCGAACTGAAACAAAAAATATAAGCTACATAAGAATAAATGCATATAAATGCTTTGGTGACAAACTATGACAAGATATCGGTGACAACATATTTGAGTTACAGCACACTGGATATCTGGAACAAAATTTGTCCTGGGAATGTTATTCATTAAAGCTAAGCTAAGTTCAGGCTTTATTACATTCCTTAACGTGGATAGAAAGTGTTTTTAAAAGCACCTGTAAAAGGATTATAAGATAAGACATGAAAAGGCAATTTTTTAATTTCAATACACAAAACCTAAAACCTTAAAAATTGTTTAACGTATGTTGTTCATAAAAGTGATATTTGTTCAGAAACCTGCTGATTTTGGGGGGTGGGGGGTGGGGGAGAGACATTCAAAAACAGTAAAAGAAGAAACGCAAAGCGTAAAGAATGAAACAGAAGGTTGAATGTGCTTACAGTGCACTTGTGTGGCTTCTCTCCTGTATGCCTTCTCATGTGAACCACCAGCATGTACTGAGCTTTGAAAGGTCTCTGCTCTCGAGAACACTCCTGCCAGTGACACACAAACTCCTTCTTCTCTCCATGGATGTGCTCGTTGTTGATGTGCTAAAAATTCAGCGGCAAAATACCAAAAGCAACATTTGTCAAAGTCACATTTATGGAAGGACCACTGAAATACAGCATACAGCCTGACTTATTACATCTTTATTGGACATCTTGTCTTATTGTAGTTTTTTGTACTTTTAGTTCATTTAGGGGTAGGAGTCGATTAAAAAAAATCTAATTATTCTTGATTAAATACATGTTAATCACTCACAAAACTTTCCCACAAAGCAATTTTGTCATTGTTGAATATATTCATTTTGTTCTTGTTTTGTTTTCTACTTATTCCTTTATTATCATATAAAGTGTTAATGTGATGATTTAGAACTAGAGTGACTAAAATGTTTTCTTTCAGCATGGAGGAGACAAGCTGTGCACAAAGTGGTGCAGAGCAAAACTAAAGTTTTGATAAAAGTATGAGAGGTGTGAATAGCAAAACAGCAACTATCTGCCTGAAAGTAGATAAGAAACAGAAGTTCTGTTATGAGAAAGTGTCTTTAAGACGTTGCTGGGTATAACGTAAGTTTGTGAGCTCACATCAAGGAATGCTGTTGGGTGAGAAGGAGAAATTGATTAGTGTCTGTATACTGACTGGAACCGCCTAAAAACTTCAATAAAAGTCTGAGTGGAAAAAAGAACAAATCATAAGGATTTTTGACAGTGACCCTGTAACCTTTCCCCTTTTCAAAGCCAAACTTAACCTTGTGTCTCACTGTGTTGTTTTTAATGTGATATTTTTCTAACAGAAAATGGTCCTTCGAGCCGGATGTGTCGCTCCCCCTCTGAGGAATAGACCGATTTCCTGACAAGTCTGTACAGCCTCAGAAGTCCCACATCTCAACTTGGCCAGCAGATCATCTCTTCCCCAAAGGAAGGAGGGAGGCAGACACATCTTTTTGGGTAACGAACTGTGTTTGAAACATTCAGGTGAGATACAAGTTCCATTAATAGGAGTGTTTGATCTTGGAATATGAGAACAGGCTATAACTCAATGAGATTTTCTGCAAAATGCAAACCATTGTGAGGTTTAAACAGTCACTCTGTCAGACAAACCAACAGAATTATCAAAAAAATGGTCAGAAAGACTTTAGAGTCACACTAGACACGTTGTTTGTGACTGAATGTTTAAAAAGTTAGTTAGAACAGAGCTGCAGCATTTTCCCAGCCTTTTGTCTGACTACTTTCAGATGTTGTTAAGAGCAAAATGCCATTCTGTCTGGTGCTTTTATTGCTGCAAATGTTACAATATTAAGAATTTAGCCCACCTCGCCTTTCTAAAGCTTCTGGCACGCAGAAAACGCACAACCTGCCAGCAGCACCAACACCAAGGACCAGAAACAGTCTCTGTGCTGTCACAGACTTCCTTTTACCTCAGAAGTAACTTGCTTTTCATTGCAATTGAAGTCCCATTAGTCATTATCACACACTGGTGAAATTACATCTCCACATTTGACCCATACCTGTAGGGCTGCAACAAACGATTATTTGGATAATCGATTAATCGGATGGGGTCTCGACACGATTAATCGATTAATCGGATTACATGGGGAAATTTTTAAAACTGCTAGGGAAACGTTATTTCTCTCCTTCCTTCACTTTATTTAACACAACATTACTAGAAAACAGTTCAATAGCAGAAAAACAACATGACATCACCTAAATTGTCTTATAAGGTGTATAGACAGAGACCCTAAGCTACACCTATCTGTGACCTAAAATGCTTGGTCCAAGTTAAACAGCTTAAGGGCAATTCTCATGTGTTTTGTTTGATCTCATCTGTTGACATTTATTTTAAATGTAATTAAACATAGGCTGTGAATTAATCAAAATTGATCACTATTTCCAAAAATGACTGAAAAAATACCAAATAAAGCAAAAGTAAATGAATGCCATCCTCCTTGCGATGATGCCCTGGGCAACTGCCATAAAGTCACATCAAGAAATGCTGCTGATCATTCCAATGATCCCAAATGGACTCACATTAGGCCACATGAAAGCAACTGAACCCAAAAATATATTAACCAGTATATAACTGCACTCTCACACAACATGCCTGCAGCAACAGTTAGGACTCCTCCCTCCCTTTTAAAAGCGTTTTTGCTTCTGAGGACATTGTGGTTGTAAAACCACATGCTAGTAGTCTGGCTCCAGTGTGATCAACCAGTTTCTGCGGGAATGTGACGGCGGAACCAGGGCCAGATTAACACTTTGTTGTACCCTGGGCAACAATATTCAAGGGCTCCATCATCACAACCCAAGGATCACCATAATGTGGTCACATACAGAATATTTTACTGTAATATGCAGTAAATATACTCAATACTTGAATGCCTGACAACACGTAACCTGCCCAGAGTAACCTTTGACCCACCTCGTGTGGACTGACCAATGAGGAGAGGGTCTTAACTTGAGGCCCTCTCTTCATTGGTCAGTCTGCATGAGACTGACTCTCAACTGACGTTCAGTCATAGGCAGCGAAGCATCTCTGTGCAGCGCAAAAGCCCGGGTGGACAGTTTGTTTAACATAGGGTGATCATATTTCCATTTCCAAACAAGAGGACAGGGGATCTGTGCCTATGACGTCACACTATGGCAACGCCACACAAACCATGTTGGGACCCATTTTTTGTAAGAACTAAATTAATATCAGATTCTGCCAATTAAAGGGCTCTAAAACAATTCATATGTAAATATTTTGCATATTTAATGCAAAATCTAATTTTTCTGCTTTAGTGCTGCAACAAGGTTTTATTAATAATAAATTATTATACCTTTTGTTTTACTACAGCATCGGTAAGCTTCCTGTGCACAGATTATTAAGGATGCTTGTTTCAGCTGTGAGATTAGACGATAGGATCAATGAAAAAATAAGTTGTCACACACTCCATGGAAACTTTCAGAGAATCCACAAATAGTGGCTTTCACATGGTTTTGTTACTTTTAAAAAGTTTAGAAAAGCAGCAGATGAGACAGCATGTCTGATAATTTAGTTTTTCATCTGATAATATTAGAACATGTCAGTAATGTCTGAGGGGCTTTTATAAACACCGTATAACTAACACTACTGGAGAGGGTATAAATTACACAGAGGCTTCTGGGGAGCCCAGTTATGGGGGGGGGGGGGGGGGGGGCATTTTGCTTTGGCCCCCAAAATGTCTTGAAACGGCCCTGGGTGTGTGACTGAGTTTTGAAGGTGATCTGAATTGTATCAGATGTATAAATATAACATGTGTATAACTTATTGTTTTTTACTGGTAAAAACGTGTAGTGGAGATAAATCTACCTACATTTTACTTTTCAACACTTTGTTTTGTTTTCTTGTTTTTATTTAACTATTTTCCTGTCCTGTCTGTCTCTCATCTTCCTGCATCTCCTCTTAATTCTCCAGAAAATCTGTTGCCTGGATTCTTACCTTTTCACCTCATCAGTTACTTTTGAGCAGATCAAAGGGATCTCCTGACCACACAGCGGAGAGTGCGTTTTCGATGCTGCGTGAGGTGACATCACCACAGCACAGGTGATGAGCTCCGTAGTAGCGCGCTTCAGGCACAAATAAGACAAAATAGAGAACATGTGCGGACATGAACGATCTGTGCTAATTATAGTTTTTTGGTTGAACCACTTTGAGAATGGACCGTGTGCTGGAAGCAGCTGCCTTGATCGCTGCACAACAATGCGGAACCGGTTCGCAGCAGCGCAAGTCTGCCGGCTCTCCCTCGCGCTGATCTGCCGGTACCGGTTCTCCCTTGCGCTGATCTTCCGGCTCTCCCTCGCACTGATCTGCGGCTCTCCCTCGCGCTGATCGACTCTCCCTCGCGCTGATCTGACTTGCTCTGGTCTGCGCGCAATGGCGGGCGGGAAGGGGGGGCGCTTTTGGAAGAGTTGTGCGACACAACGAATCGATGACGCAATTCGTTGCCAACGCTTTTAGTAATCGATTTTCATCGAATTTATCGATTCGTTGTTGCAGCCCTACATACCTGTGGGGAGGGGTGAGCTGCAACAGTGGCTGAGCTCGTAAACTGATTGGTGGTTTAACCCCCAATCCAACTTCTTAATGCTGAGTGTCAAGTGGGGATGCATTGGGTCACATTTTTAAAGTCTTTGGTATGACAGGAACATGGATTTGAACCCAGATCTCCCAGTCTTATAGGTCTGGGCTTAGCGAACATCCCAGACATGATCATGACACCACCCTCTGTTGTGCTAATGTGTTGTCTTCATCCAGAAGTCTGCTGTTGCAGTAATATTACTACTAACTCAATGGAAATAATAATAACTTATAGTATTACGGTAAAAGAGGCTAGTGTGACTTCCTGTTACTGGAAAGGATTTGTTTTTGTCTTACATGAACCAGCTGGTCTTGTGTGTCAAATTCCTTGTTGCAGCTCTCCCAGTGGCAGTTAGTCTCGTAGACGGCCTCCAGCTCAGGCTTCCCATCCTCCTTGTCCAAATCTTCTCTGCCGTCCAACAGGCCCATCAAATGATCCTGTTGACACAGTTCTGGGTTAGTTATTACCCAGAAGTGCTTTACAGTCTTACAATATGCTATTCCTGGTGTTCTTTGTTTTTAACGCAATTTTACAAACCGGCACAAGTGCAGATACTCCATAAGATGTCACTTACCTGAGTGCCTGTAGATGAAGGACTGGCTATGTCTGCCTCCGACCTCTCCTCCAGACTCTTAACGTTCAATCCGTCCATCATTCCTCCAAGACCTGGCTCTGTTTTCAGCTGTAAAAAAAGCCCAAGACTGATTATTTATAGAAGCTGCTGAATCCCGTTTGGACAATTTGAGGTGTGAATTAAAAAGCTCTCTTACGTGTCCATGCTTGGGTGGAGCCTGGAGCCGAGGATTGTGGGGAGGTAAGCGTGAAGCTTGGCAGGGACCTGGTGTATGGCCACCCAAAGGTGTAGCCCCGTTTCCTCCGTACATGGACCCTTGTTGTCTGGAGAGGCAGTTTACGTTGCTGGAGTAACTCAGGGATGGACTATGAGGTAAAAAACAAGTTCTATTTTTCAAATAAAGACCACTAAGCAAAGACCAATGTTGGGAAATACTTATGTCATACCTCATGGCGCTCACAGAGAGATGCCCGTAGGAGCTGGCACCGTTTGGGTTGCAGCGAGAGTTGACAAAGGCCACTAAAGAGTTGGGTGAGGTCCGAATGACAGTCTGCAGGTCCACGCTGGCATCAGATAAGGGTGAAATGGACAGAGCTCTCTTTTTACTCAGCTTCAGCATGGAGCGAGGAGTGGAGAACCTGGAGCCTAATCCAGACAGACAATACGAGGGTTTTTAAGGTAAGGATTTTTTTTTGTGTGTGACAGGATTCATTTTGATTTTAAACTGGATCTTGTCTCACCATCACCAGACCCAATATGTTCCGAGCTGGGCTGAACCTGACAGAAGTTCTGATGAGAAGACATCATGTTGTTCTGATTGCAGTAGGGGGCGCTGTTGCAGCCTGTGGGGTTTAGAGACAGAAGTAGGAATAAATCAACAAAATGATTTTAAATCCTTTACATCTTAAGAGATAAGAAGATATGGAATAAGAAGACAGCAATATTAATAATCTTTATTTAAAATATACCTGCACATTACAGTCGAGCCTCTTCTTTTTATTATTCTAAGGCACATAAGATCTTAGTGTTTTGATAATGGCCTTCCCTCAGTAGGAAAAGCAGCATTCCAGCTTAATTCTCAGGTATCCTTAAGTCCTAATCATTAGCAGCTTCGAGAGTAAGAGGATGTAAAAGATACTCCGGCTCACCGTCTGTGGGCGGCATGCCCCTCTGGCCCATTATACTGTGAGGTGGAGGGGCTTGAGGGGGCCTCATGTACTGATCCAAGCAGTGACCATTCCCCTGCCCTGGTCCCGATCCTGATCCATGAGTCATGCTGGGAGCCATGGGATTATACATTGTGTGGCAGTCTGGAGGAGGCCCTTCAAGGAGCGGGGCTCGCAGAGAAGACACATCGCTGTAGGGGGACTGGTCAGATGGCACTAGGCTGAGAATTAAGCCAAAATACACACAGAATGTTGGTCACAGACAAAACTGAGATGTATGAAATATATCAAAGCTATGAAAATTAGGTTTGAGATGAATTCTGAGCCCAAAAATCCAAACCAAGAGAAGATTTTCACTCATTGGCTTTAGATAAAACTGCAATGCCTCACTCCAACCACTAGACGGTGGATTACCCTAATCTTGGTCTAAACTATGGAAATTGACTAATGTGGGGTTTTTCCCTCGCTGAAGAAGAAAAGATGGAACTTGGAACTTTCCATTCTCCTCACAAATGTCAGCGGATGCTCTGATGCTTCTTCG